CATATGATTGTAAGTAAATTAAGATAGACCGGGTCACTAATGGACAAAAAAAGAATGAAATCAAAGCGACACTTCTGAAAGAGATAATGGATGAAATCAATGCTAGGATTAAATATTTGTCTCAAAAATGCTTACATAAGAGATCAGCTTTCATAAATGTTAGCACTAACTGCCAGAAACTTCTAATATTTAAACCACACAAAAGCAGTAGCTGGAAAGCACTTAACACATAACCTCACTCATGGTTTGTAAATTCAGCTACCAGTTAGCTCAAGTTAACATCAGGAGCATCTTCTCTCCCCACCTGAGTGGCCAAATGACATTAGGGTGGCTCTGATGACTGCACTGTACATTATCGCCTAGTTTCAAACGATTCATGCAACAGCCTTTTACTCATAATGACAGCTGATGAATGTAGTCTATCTATGCTATCACTGAAGCACACACTGCAGCAGACAAAGAGTAATGATAAATGGATCTCTGAGACCTAACCCTGACAGAGGACTCTCCCATGGAAAAGCAGTCTTATTTTATTTCATGCAAATTACTTCCCAAATATTTTCACCTCCACATCCATGCTCTATTAAATACTATAAATGGAACCAAGGTTCTGTGGATAAGCTAAAGCTCATTCAGTACTGACCAAAGTTCTCAGTACAGAGAAAACAAGAAATTTGTTCATAATTTCCATATCCACATGTTACAGATTGGGGGCACACAGTAGCGTAGTTGGTTGGGGCACTATGCTACAAGCCGGAAGGTCAAGGGTTCAAGCCCCCATGAGGTCAGTGGATTTTTTTCAATTGACCTAATCCTTCCAGCTGCACTATGGTCCTGGAGTCGACTCAGCCACTAACATAAATAAGTACCAGGAATATTCTTGGTACTCATTTCTGTCAGAGGCTGAGACGACCCCAGGGCCATAGTGCAACTGGAAGGATTAGGTAAACTGGGGGGGAAAAAAATCCACCTCATCAGGACTCAAACCTGCGACCTTTCGGCTTGTAGCGTAGTACCTCAACCAACTATGCTACCGCGTGCCTCATATATATGCAACAAATCGTCAGCTTCAGCTTGTCATCCAGCATTCGCTTTAACATGACCTGTTTATCACCACACCCCTTTCCTGATAATGCTCAAGGATCCCAGAATATGTGGGTACAACTCTTCCCACTGTCAATTTGTGACTTGAACTTCTTCATGACAGGATATCAAGTGTCAACATTTCATCATCTGATGTCTGCACTCTGGCTCACAGTGGCAGAACATGTCTCATCACCAGCGCAAATGTGACTCAAAAAGGAGTCACGATCCTCATAATAGCATTTCAGAAGTAAACTATGATGTCCAAAAAGTTACACCTATGCTGTTCTGCAAGTTTGTTGTGGCACTCATCTTTTATAGATTTCTCGGAAATTAAGTCTGTGGTGTACGTATGATTCCGATGGGAGAAAACCATGGATAACCTACAACCAGTCTGCCACTCCATCCATAGTCACCCACCTGCTGTAGTGAATTAGTGTGCAGGCTTCTTCAAGCCTGACAACCTTACTGCCATCTGTGAGCCGATGGTATACAAAATATGTGGAAGCCTCAACGTCTCACAACCCTATGGGCCTTCGTGGCCTGTTACAGGGATAGCTTTACCTTTTACCTTTTATATATGGCCTCTACCTCTAGGGTCTCGGATAGTGTAGTTGGTATGGCAACTGGCTATGGGCTGGATGATCGAGAGGTCAGAGTTCGAGTACCAGCAGGGTCAAGAATTTTCTCTTCTCCAAGTCATCCAGCCTGGCTCTGGGGTCTACTCAACCTCTTATCCAATGGGTACTAGGGGCTCTTCTCCCGGGGGTAAAGCGGCCGGGGCATGAAGGTGACCACTCACCTCCAACTAGTGCCGAGCTCAAGAAAATGTGGATCTGTACATCCACTTCCCCATACACCTTCATGGCATAGTGCTTAATTTCTTAAGCACAGGAACAACTTTACCTCTAGGGGTGGAAAGGAAGCCAAGCAAGTTCCCAATTGCTTCATACTGGTTTCTTGCTTCACTCACTCTTTAAACCCATAGGTTGATGAAATGTGTTACTTTGAAACTTTGGTCAACATTCACTGAGCTACATATTGCTGTGCCTCCAGAGATGAAATTTGTTCCTTCAGGAGTATATGTGAGTGGCTGCCTAACTGTTCTACATCAGTGACGCTTCGCCATTTATAACAGTGTTATTCCAAACGTACAGCTGCAGAAAAATACTGTCACCATACCATGCCGAAGCACTTCAATGAATTTCAGAACCTCTTACATCTATGGTAGCGGGCACATTCAGCAGTGGGGCCAGTCACAAAAGAAGACATGAATATTTCACATGTAATTTCTGACTTACCGTAAAATTTAGAGCCATAAAATAACTGAAAGCTACATGAAATATCAAGAGGTGGAATTTTCTCAAAGTCATTGCCTGTTTCATACATGCGGTCAGTTTCATAGATGTGCTTACCAATCACAAACTAAGATGAAACAAAGTCTATGAATACTTGATAATACCCAATATTTACAAATTAAATGTATTACAGTATTTGAACAACTTTAAATGTTCAATGGACAAATCCATCTCAATAAATGTCATTGTCTTATTTGTATATTTCAGCAGCTTTATGCATCTGATGATAAATCATTTTTCTTTTTACTTGTGAAGAGCAAGTGAGCCTATTTACAAGTTCACTATTAACCTCCATTCATTCATTCATTCATTCATCTGTAATCTGTCAAGATGACAGGTCCACAGTCTCTTCCAAAACAGTTCCTCCACTTGATGCGATCTAGAGCTTTCTCCTCCAAGTAAAATAAAAAAGGACAGCATAGTCTTGAATACGAATTCTTAAATTTTCAAGAGAGGTGCATAACAATTTCACAAACAGAATATCTATTATCCATACAAATTAAACAATTGTTCAAGCCGGGATAGCGTAGTAGGTATAAGGACTGGATATGGGCTGGACAACTGAGGGGTTGGAGTTCGAGTCCCGGTAGGGTCAAGAATTTTCTTTTCTCTACATCAGCGTAGTAGGTATAAGGACTGGATATGGGCTGGACAACTGAGGGGTTGGAGTTCGAGTCCCGGTAGGGTCAAGAATTTTCTTTTCTCTACATCAGCGTAGTAGGTATAAGGACTGGATATGGGCTGGACAACTGAGGGGTTGGAGTTCGAGTCCCGGTAGGGTCAAGAATTTTCTTTTCTCTACATCAGCGTAGTAGGTATAAGGACTGGATATGGGCTGGACAACTGAGGGGTTGGAGTTCGAGTCCCGGTAGGGTCAAGAATTTTCTTTTCTCTACATCAGCGTAGTAGGTATAAGGACTGGATATGGGCTGGACAACTGAGGGGTTGGAGTTCGAGTCCCGGTAGGGTCAAGAATTTTCTTTTCTCTACATCAGCGTAGTAGGTATAAGGACTGGATATGGGCTGGACAACTGAGGGGTTGGAGTTCGAGTCCCGGTAGGGTCAAGAATTTTCTTTTCTCTACATCAGCGTAGTAGGTATAAGGACTGGATATGGGCTGGACAACTGAGGGGTTGGAGTTCGAGTCCCGGTAGGGTCAAGAATTTTCTTTTCTCTACATCACCAAGGCCGGCTCTGGGGCCCACCCAGCCTCATTTCCAATGGGTACAGGGGGGGTTCTTACCCTGGAAGTAAAGCGGCCAGGAAGTGAAGCTGAGCACTCACCTCAAACTAGTACTTAGGTCAACAAAATGTGGATCTACACATCCACTCCCCAATACGCCTTCATGTCATAGTGCTTACTTAGTTAAGCATAGGGACAGCTTTTACCCTTGAAACATTACCTGGCAGGATTCCAGAAATTAAACTTAAATCTACAGCCATTTAACAATACAGATTTATCTATAGGCTCATGCTATGATTCATACAAATTTTCTTACATTCAACACCATTTCCATTAACTTCCTGCAGGAACTGGACAAACATATTTTGAAGCCATGACCATAGTTAACTCAAATTACAAAAGAAACAGAAGATTCATATAATGATAACATTTTATTCCCACTATGTAAAAGAACTGAAAATTAGATCCAATAAAGCATGACTGGTACACAAGACTTATTATAACAAGAATGGATGTAGCACTAGCTAAAATTGTGACTGTATCATAGTTAGTTTTATAAGTATAAAAGTAATAATGACATCATAATCACAATTCTTCCTCTATCAGCCCAGAAGTGTTACAAATCAGGTGCAATTTCAGGATGGAACATGATCCTGTTTCTGCTCATAACAGATCTAACATATCAAATGCATGGTACAACTGCATTACACACAGACAAACCTAACCTAAGAATTTTGTGGCAGTAACACGATAATCACCATAAGACTACAGCTACAGAAACGGTTACCAAAGTCTGAAGAATATGGGATGGTACAACCATTGCAGACATGCCTAAAAATGTCATGTGTGTGAAACCAATTAAAAACCTTGGAAGTCATGGTATAAAAATTCGAACTGTTTCAGTTATGTTGTACAACACTTTTCCTTCATTGCATAGGGTATAAATTCCGCATCGCAGCCCATAAGAAACAAAAATGTTAATAGTAAAAAATACGGTGGCAAAAAACTACTAGAAACAACCTATGGGAATTTACAAGAAGCTGAATGACAGATGGTCTTCCTTCATTCTTACAGTATGCTGTAACTTGACCATATGCTGCTACAAGAAGAAAATGCAGCAAATGATGCACAGTGGAGCATACACTATAATATCAACATTTATTTTACACCTTAAATAAAAATTTATAAATTATTCAACTGGATAAACAACCGCAGTCATGGCCAGCACTGCTCTATCCTATAACCTTGTTTCTACATAAAATGACTTTAATTGGTAGAATCCAAATAATCTCACAAGCCGAACATCATTACTTTGCTTTGTCACTACTAAAGTAACCTTTTACCGAAGACATTCACTCCAAATGTATCTCACTCACCATGGACAGTTCCTCTGTGCAGATAAATAAGTAGTGTTAACGACAACAACACACTACTGCGGTAGGAAGACATTTTCCTATCACTCAAGACTTTTACGTGACGATCATGATTATAATATGAAAATCGTTGAACATTTTTCCAAAATGTTCTTTCTATCTATGCCTGCACGACGATCAAACACTTCCATTACTCTCGTCTCACTGACACGACCGACACGACCTCACCTCAACCAATCATGAATTCGATATTTAACAACTCGAAGAGATATGTCTTGTATTCATCCGCAGAATGAATCTTCTTGTGGATGTGATGATTGTTACTTGCCTCTAAGCGTCTTTTCTAATCTCGGGGTGTTTTGCGACAAACTTTTAAAATCAAATATCACCGCATTACTAAAAAGACAATTACCATTACGTAAATAAGATATCGATGATACAGCTAAAACTAACTTCACTTCTTACATCCGATATTATTACGCGGGAAACATGAAGTAACAATTTGGCAATCTTTCTGCAAGCATACTAGTCTATGATACTACAATTAATTTTGTATAGCTGTTTATATGTACCGATTTTGAGTTAAATGCCTCTTATACATCACAGCTATAGGAACTGATGGTCTTGGTAAGCAAACATAAAACTGTGAATGAATCTTACGCATGTCACCAAACCAAAATATGCACAACGGTACGTCGTACGGTAATCTTCCTGCCATAAAACACAAAAAGCGAACAACACTTATACAATCTGTTCCTAAAAATAGGCAGTAATAGATGGTAAACAAAAACCAATTTGCTCTTTTTACTTGATTTTTACGTTGTCACTGTACATTGATTTTACTCCTCCAAAGTAAAATACATCGTCCCTATATTCACTCTTTGAGTACCAGTACCTTCATGATATGCACACAAACTGTATATAGTTCCCCCTTTGGCGCTACAGCCCCAATTTGGGCCTTGGTCTACCTCAATGAAACTCTCCGTTTCACTTCGGTTTTTCTAGATCTTACACATTCGGTAGGACTCCTTGGGTGGGTGATCAGCTCGTCGCAAGGCCTCTACCTGTACACAAACATATAAAAACGCACATATACACACACAAACACCAAACATCCACGCCCCGAGTGGGATTCGAACCCACGGTCCCGGCTTCCGAGCGAGCGAAGACAGTGCATGCATTAGACTGCTCGGCTACCGTGACTGGCACTGTGTATATTGCATTTAATTAGGCAAATTTTATGAGAATGTGAGAATATAACGGGTGTGTATATACCTAAGCGTCGTGGTAAACAATAAACACAAGCACTACAAGATTCATTGCAGTGTAGTGCAGTGTGTCTACTATTTCTTTAATTTCATTCCGACACATTTATATATGCTATGAATATACTGAGGTTTAAAATCTCACCACAGATTCCAGAACATGCTACCTCATTCTAACCTTCTAAACTATCACAGACATTTAAGATCTCGAGAGATTTGGACTGCTTTACGACCAAGCGTACTGTGAGGCTTCGCTAGGCAGAATAATATTATGTATTTCAGCAAATGATCCTCTAAAATAAAATTAATTTTAAATTGCGATATGCCGCTGTGAAGTGCAGTGCAGTAATTTGCTGCTGGCCCTCGCCAGCGGTCATTCATGGTTTCGAGTCCCGTTAGGACTCATGACCAAATTTGTCTCTGTTCGAATACCTCTTATGCGTTTGGAAATTGGGTCTCCTCTTCGACGTGAGGAGGGTTGGTCTTTCTAAGTAGGCGTCACATTTGTTGCACCACAATTCAGCATGAGTTCACCCGCAATCACACAGCGTCCGGATAAGGGCAGTTATACACTATGGACAGCATACACACTTTGTTACTTTACTATAATAAATTACATTTATGCAGAATATACACTATACGCCGAGATGCAGTCTTTCCTATATATATTGTATTATTTCTAATTTAACAAGCGACGAAGATGCTGGGATACTCAGTCACCCGTATATACGTTTTCCTGAATTATTTTCTTAACCCATGCTAATAACTACCGGAAACACTATGTAGGTTTGAGGTGCGGGGAGTAGATGTATAAACGTCAGCATTGAAGGCTATTTATCTGGAATAAAGCTCAATTTAAAAAGACTCCAAAACTGCCAGGGTTAAAATCAAATTAAACTGTACGTGTGTACGTACCAGACAGCAAAAGGCGTTAACAGACACTGTGAGTGAAACTGCAATTGGGCATACTCTTCAGAGGCTCCTGATACGTGTGTTTGGTATGTAGAGGATCAGATCCAGAGGCGGCTCTTTTCTTCCTGAATCTATAGTCATTAAAGTGCATATTAATCAGTAGCTATATATTTAATAAGCAGTCACGAACAGCCGAAAAGGGGCGGGCCTCCAGCTTGGGGGATGGGAGTGGGGCTAACAAATTTTCGCCGTAAAAAAATAAGCTTGTTACGAAACGTCACAAAGGGCCTAGGGCCTACACAGATTCTTTGGATAAACGACCTAAGCTTAGAAAGATGGACATGAGATTTTGTACGTGAAATGTAGAAAGACTCTATATAGAAATTTGCTCATCACAGTTGCAAAAGAAACAGCAAATTATAAGTTAGATATAGAGGGAATTCAGGAGCGCATATGGGACCACCAGACGAATATACATTTTTGTATGGGAAGAGGAATGATAATTATGAATTACGTATGGTTTTTTTTTGTACATAAGGGAATCATAATCCTGATTCAGGAGAAAATTAAGAGGCAATTCAACTCAGGTAATGCTTGCTACCATTCAGTTCAGAACCTCTTGTCTTCTCGTCTCTTGTCCAAAAACATAAAAATTAGAATATACAAAACTATAATTGTGCCTGTGGTTCTGTACGGGTGTGAAACTTGGTCTCTGACATTAAGGGAGGAACATAGACTGAGGGTGTTTGAAAACATGGTGTTAAGGAGAATATTTGGACCAAAGAGAGATGAAATCACAGGAGGTTGGAGAAAACTGCATAATGAGGAGCTTCATAACTTGTACTCTTCTCAAAGTATTATTAGAATGATCAAATCAAGGAGGATGAGGTGGGCAGGTCATGTAGCACGAATGGGGGAGACGAGGAATGCGTATAGGATATTGGTGGGAAAGCCAGAAGGAAAGAGACCACAGGGAAGGCCAAGGTGTAGGTGGGTGGACAATATTAGAATGGATCTTAGAGAGATAGGACGGGATGGTATGGATTGGATAAATCTGGCTCAGGATAGGGACCAGTGGAGGGCTCTTGTGAACACGGTGATGATCCTGCGGGTTCCATAAAATGCTGGGAAATTCTTGAGTGGCTGCAGAATTCGCAGCTCCTCCAAAAGGGCTCAGCTCCATGAGTAAGTAAGTAAGTAAGTAAGTAAGGAAATCATATCAGAAGTGAAGAGGGTAGAGAATGTTAGTGACAGGATGTCATTCATAACACCAAGAGGCCGCTGGTGTAATATCATTGTTCTGAATGTTCATGCCCAATCAGAGGATACAATTGATAATGTGAGGGACGGATTATATGAGGAACTAGAACGTATATTCAATAAATTCCCCAAATACCACATGAAATTTTGTTGGGAGATTTCAATGCCCAAGTAGGGAAGGAACACATTTTCAAACCAACAATTGGGAATGAGAGTTCGCACGAAATTAGTAATGATAATGAAGTTAGAGTAGTAAATTTTGCCACATCCAAAAATCATTTACAAACGGACAATGTTTCCACATCGTAAATTTACTTGGACATCTCCTGATGGAAAAACTCGCATTCAGAATGACCACATTTTTATAGAAAAGAGAGGTATTCAAGTGCACTCGATGTCCAGTCGTTCAGAGCAACAGATTGTGATACTGACCACTGTCTGGTGGTCGCAAAAGTTGGTGAGAGACTGGGAGTGAGTAAGCAAATACCGTATTTACGCATGTATAGGCCGCGTGCGTGTACAGGCCGCAGCACAATTTTCAGACAGAAATTATAGAAAAAATAATTTTCTTGGAATATTATTTCAGGAGTAGAACACCCTGTATTACTAATTATGAATATAATCTTTTTTAAATGAAGTGTGATTTCGAATATTTCGAATATAAGCCACACCCCAGTTTTCCTCTTGAATTTTTGGCAAAAAATGTGCGGCCTATACATGCGTAAATATGGTAATGCACAGATTTCATATGGAAAGGTTCAATCTCAAGAAATTAAACGAGGTAGAGAGTAAAGAGCAGTATCGCGTTGAAATCTCAAATAGGTTTGCAGCTCTGAAAAACTTAGACGCTTAGCTTACAGATCTCAACCCTGAAGATGAAGATTGACTGTTCTTCCGGACGGTATCTGCCTGCAGAACTGTACAGAGTCACAGCCCGGAATACCGAAATATAAACAAGGGAACGTCACACTATATCCATACAAATATCTTACGCAACTTTACACAGCGCCCGTAGTTGACACTTTGCTGTTAATATTTGAAAGTCACATTTTAGATCATGATCTATCATTACTTCATGACAATCCAGAAATTGAGAAATTGTCACCAGAGCAAATTTTACCTATTACTTGCGTATTACTGCCTATCTTCATTCTACCAATGCACCACATTCCACTTCTAATGCGTGCTAATCCCTTTCCTCTTGTGAAGTCCGCCACGCTTTGTGAACTCCGTCAAAACTTGCTGATTCTTCGGAGTCCTGTTGAATCACTAGCTCCAGTTACGGTGGTACGAACAGATCATTTTTCTCAAGATGTATCGGGTCTTGCTTATACAGGAAAAGGGAAAATTATGGTGCTTATTCAACTCCTTTTATGATTACACAGTCATTACTTATTAGTATACTTCTGCTGGCACATATTTACAAACCATCATACACAATTTCAATTTTTTAGAAGCACAGTTGACATTTTTACGCTTTGAAATCTTAAGACAGGATTCATTTAAAAGCAGCGATTGCATTTTTAAACTCTGAAATCTTAAGACAGCATTCCCTTCTGTCTGCCTTGAAAACTTATACCCGACTGCTCTACAGGGCTTAAGTTCTTATGTCCTTGCTTTTAAGAACTTTAAACAGGCTGATTTACGGAGATATACTTATGTCCGTCTCCTCTAACAGCTTGAAATAGATTTATTTTACAGAGGTGAAGTGATTACGTCCGTCTGTTATAACTCTTGAAATAGATTGATTATTGGAAGACAAGCGTTCTGACTCTTGGAAGACTCAGACTGCCTTTGTTCATAAAAGTTGACCTCTTTTTGGCTTAAAATTTTAAAATTTATGTGGTTTTTAATGTTTATACAGTCCGGTCAGTTACTTGCTTTATTACAATTGGCTATCAAATTTCCATCACTTCATGAATAGCTCATTAATTCAACATATGTTGTGGCGTTCC